TCATTGATAAAGCTTACCACGTCCGTTTGTTTCTACGATTAATGCTTTCTTTTCTCTTAGTTATTTCAGGCTATTCCTTAAAGGCTTGGCTCTATTCACGGGGAAGTGTCGGCGTACAGCTGCAGACTGTACCAATTGCGTATATGCAGTACTTAATGCATTTCCGTTATTTTTCATAATGCATAACTGTTGCATAGTAGTGTAATTCATTTATAGTAATTCTAATATCTCGTGTTTAACTTCTGAGATCAATCAATGTGTAATAAACATCGTGTTTTGTTTTTTAATTCAGTAAAACTTTTTTTATTGGACACCCCTTACGCGATGCCTATGATGAGGCCTGTAAGGTGAACAACATAAATCATGCACAATTAATGAATAATTCAATAAATTAATGAATGAATGGGGCACAAAATAATACTTCACCAACAGGCTGTTTCTTTTTCCTCCACTGCGTATACCGACTGTCTCGAATGATACCACGAAATCAATTCAGTTATGAAGCCTGACTGAATGCATTTTCTTGAAACGCAGTAGGTCAGTAATGGTCGGTAAGATTAAAGCCACCTATTTATTATGAACGACGTCGCGGTCGGCGGGATGTTTCAAGTTCATTCTGTCCTTCCGGGGTATTACAAGAGCACACCTAGAGCGGTAAACACACGTACATTTTTTGGGCTACCTTCTGACAGAAACAAGAGCCAACCTAAGCCGGAGATCAAATCTGCGAACTCAAGTGCAGCGGCAGAGCGCCTTGGTCAGTGGACCAGAAACACGGGTCATGCATGCGTCATTGCACGCGGAAGAGCACGGCTTTAAACGAGGCCACGAGTGCGTTCCCGTGCACTACAGCTGTCTCGAATAAAATGGCGCGTATGCTTAGCGCTTCATGTGCTCGTGTAGCTGAAAGAGGATTAAAAAAAATGCTGGAGTGGAAGCTCCCGCAGTGGCTTGCCAGCAGAAGTGAAGCCAGCTTTTGCCACTGCCAAGTTGTCGGAAACATGCTCTTTTCCGATAGCGCTCACTTAGACACTAAGTGGCTTTGACGTGGTAGTGTCAATTCTACGTTAGATAACTATTAAAAGATAGCTGTTTCCGACGAAATAACACAGAGAAACGAGTAGGGGTAACTTGACTTCTCAAGAACTTTGCCTCCAATTAGAGGCTCACTAAATAAAACTAGTAACACTAACACGCACTTGGAACACTATGTGACCCGCGAAAGTTTCCACATTACACTCGTGGAGCGTGCGAAAGCAACGCTCCATTATTACTTGCTGAACGGTGATACTTTATCGTGCCCCTAGTAAGATGGCCGCCACAGTCGCCATCTTGCCAGAGGCACGGCTTCACTCCTAGGCAATAATTTCCACTCCAGCAATTTTTTAAATCCTCCTTGGTGTAGTTACATGAAATGCTGCGGTCCTTCCTATAGCAGACATGACGATACCAATTTATTAAGGCGAGATGCGTGTCTCATGCAATGGTGGCCTTGAATGAAATCATGGCGTGCGGATGAAATAGTACCAAAAAGACAGAAAGAAATAAACAAAAAAAGGAAGAAAGAAAGAAAGGGTTGATGATATGAGGGGTTTAACGTCACAAAACCACCATTTGACAATGAGAGACGCCGTAGTGGAGGGCTCCGGAAATTACGACCACCTGGGGTTCTTCAACGTATACCCAAATCTGAGCACACGGGCTTACAACATTTCCGCCTCCATAAAAAATGCAGCCGTCGCAGCCGGGATTCGATCCCGCGACCAGCGGGTCAGCAGCCGAGTACCTTAGCCACTAGACCACCGCGGCGGGGCAGTAAGAAAGGAAGGGGCATGGAGCTTTGAATAAACTGATAGGCGCGTCGTGGTTCTCTTCATACGCACGCATTTTGTGACCTTCCACCTATCAAAAGCATCAAAACATTGCATTCGTCATCGAGACGCTGACGAACATGGGATGAGATTCTATAAATGCGTCATCGTCCACTTCTGCTGCTATAGCTTTCTAATCCAAACAAGCTTAGTGTCATTTGGATTGAAATAATGGCTGAAAAAAAACTGCAAAAAGAATGTCATGCGATGTCAGTGGTATGCTTGACATCTTCGCGTTGTGAAAACAAATCGCGAAAGTCTGTCCACGTGCGTCTCAACACGTGAAACAGCGCTTGCTATACTCTCACGACGTGGCCCTTACGAAGTTTGCCTTAGAGGATTTAAAGACGAGTATACCAGAATCTTGCTGAGAGGCAGGTCTTACTTATGTTCAACACACTGCAGCACTTGGCACGAATGTGGAAACTATTTGCTCGGCTAAATAGTAGTGGAGGGAAAGAGCCACACGAAGCACTAGGAATTTATGGAAAATGCCAACTGTTAATGATCAGCAAGCAGCAATACAACTAAAAACAGTATGTGGCTGTTGTCAGAGGCAGGTCAGGAGAGATATCCGTGAGAGAACAAGCCAAACGATCGACAGAGATTGGGCAGCCCAGCGCACATACTATGACGATGTCAGGTTCTGCTCTGGTGAAACCGCAGAGCCGCTTCACCAACACGTGTACGTGTGATATTTGAAAACTAAATATATATAGGTGAAGAGTATGAACACACTCGGTGCCAGGAAGTAGTCAGACACGCATAAACTTCATTATTTGGAGCTGTATACGACTGTGCATAAACTTTGCATTTGGTGGGACGATGTCGGGCGTTCGGAAGTAAACAGTCCCGTTTGTCTAGGATGGAATACCGGGTGAATAGGTGTAGCAGTAGGGTTGACAGGCGGGCTAGTTGGTACAAATTCATAACGGAAAAATTGGAAGCGCAAACCAAAGGGACCCAAGAGAAGAGACAAACAAGCGCAGACTAAAACTGAGTTTATTCAGAGAAGAAATTATATGCCAGAAAGATGAGAAAGGGAAACAACTGGGGAGAAGGTTCCACCATGATCAGGTGTCGTCCAGAAACGATATTTCACAATCTAACAGTGATATAGACGGGGAACTAACACAACTATCAATATTCTTTTTAATAAAAAAGGCGTCCGCAATCTCTCTAGTTGCCACACTTTTTGCAATGGGCGGAGAAATGTAAATCAGCCCCGGGTTTACATTTGTTCACCCATTGCAAAAAGTGTGGCTGCGTACCTGAATTTTCGCGCACATCTCTCTTATACAGCCATCATGACATGAAAACTAGAGAGATTGCGAACGCCTTTTCTATTAAAAAGAATATTGATAGTTGTGTTAGTTCACCATCTGTATCACTGTTAGATTGTGAAATATTTCTGGACGACACCTGATCATGGTGGAACTTTCTCCCCAGTTGTTTCCCTTTCTCATCTTTCTGGCATACAATTTCTTCTCTGAATAAACTGAGTTTCAGTCTGCGCTTGTTTGTCTCTTCTCTTGTGTCCCGTAGGTTTGCGCTTCCAATTATTCCATTATGAATAGGTGTACATTCACCGCGGCTAACTGTGAGAATAACGCAGACGAAGCAATGGAAGGCACACACGACACAGCGTTGAACTTCAACTGAAGTTTTATGGACGAAAATCCGTCACGGTTGTCTAGCGAATGTGGTATACCTCGACCGCTGAATCGAAGGTATTTGGATTGAATACCAGCCACGGTGGACACATCTTCAGTGGAGGCGAAGATTCTAGAGGCCCGCGTACTCATATTTAGGTGCACGCCAAATAAAATCAGAGACGCGAAATTTCCGGAGCCCTCCACTGCGACGTCCGCCAAAATCATATCGTGGTTTTCGGACTTAACAAACCAGTAATTGTTATAACGGGCAAATCCGGGTTTTTGACATGGTGCTAAGTACTTGTATTGGCGTTCACGTTTTCAAACACGAAAACAACGCTATGTGGTGTGTCCCGTTCATTTCTTCGTCCACGTTTGTGGTGCTGTTTTGTCGTGAACTTCCTAGTTCACGTTGACAGTCGTACTACGCTAACTGCTAGGAAAGAAGTGTACATTTAAGGGAACATTTTCCTTTGTTAGATACTGTGTTAATGAGATCTTACAGACACTCAGGCCAAGAAATTCTGAGCACGTCGTAGGCCCGTGTGCTCAGATTTGGGTGCACGTTAAAGAACCCCAGGTGGTCAAAATTTCCGGAGCCCTCCACTACGGCGTCTCTCATAATCACATGGTGGTTTTGGGACGTTAAACCCCACAAATCAATCAATCAAGGCCAAGAAAAGTATAGTAGATGTTATTAGAAGTAATTGTAACGTAGATGTGACGCCAACCGTTAGTGACATTCGTCAGCAATGCAATGATCCATAATGTTTAGAGGAATTTTTTTCGAGCTAAGGGCGTGACTTAACTCCTTCAAGGAAATCGGTAACGACTTTTCTTATTGCTTTCAGGGAAGCCGAGTGTTCGGCTCAACCAGACTTCGACACAGCACCACACCGCGGCAAACCAAGTCAACGATACCATAGAACTTCCACGAGTTTTACGGTGCAATTCCACCCTGTCGACATGTCACTGTTTATTTGATTTTCGTGTGCACTGTCCAGTCAACTGAAGCACATCATACGTAGCGAGCATGCAGACACAAACATATAGTGTTCAACCCACTTTTGAACGACGGCTGCGCGATCCCTAATTAAGCGACACTTTTTTTTCTTTCTCGCGGACACCATGGACCACGTTTGACTGGCTAGCTACGGCTATCCCTCACGCTCAAAAACGAACAGCAATCTGGCGCGGAACGTCCCGCTATATAGCGACAGGACTGAATCTCGTGTTGAGCCATATGGAACGCGTCGCGAGTTGTGCGCAACGTGCACATCAGTGTGGATGAGTGGTCGGGAGCTTGCATCTCTAGCAACATCCACTTGCTCCGTATTTCACGCAGTAAAGTACATATAGTTGACGTAAGTGCATAAGGACAGCCCGTCTTCTATCGCACGCGTTCTAGGTGCCCGCGCACGGCGGTAGGATCCCCCAACGCATTCAGGTGCAGGAATTATGACCAACCACTCACCCTTTGGCTGAACCTGGCGCCATGGCTGTCAGCAGCTCACTGCCGCACTCGACGGAATAGATAAGTGGCGACCGGCCGGCAGTGGCGCGATGTGCGCTGAGGGCGCCACTCATGTTCGGTGGATGCCGATAGAGTTGCCGCGCTTATCACGGCGCCGATAGATACACACCGCTGGCCTTCTTTGCATCGCGGAATGCGGAAAGGTCTGTGATAGGTATCGCTCAATGCTGCCGCTTGACCACAGATCACTTTCTCGGCGGCGTACTGAGAACGAGCGATAAGGCATGCAAAACATGAAGGTCTGTTAGATAAAGGATGACCTCAGAAATTACGTAAGCCGTAGCAAGGCCACGTTTTTGTGCTGAGAGAATGGTCCTGTGTAAAAAGGTCAGTGGAAAAACCCCGGATGGCAACTTTACAGCCCAGGAGCTTCGCTTAGTACTATATGCTATGAATGGCTAATCTGGCAAAAATATGAGCGGCAGCATGCTGGAATCTTGGGGGATATTTAGAAAACGAAGCATGTGGTTACCTGCTCTTTCCTATTTCTTGGTGAAAGGATAAATGGCAGAGCAAGGAGTGTAAAGGGTGAGGGAGTACTAATATAGGTTAGCCCACACCATTCACCACAGATATTTGTGGGATGAGCTTGAAGCTACGTCTGACTTTCTCCGTCGCCATCATCATATGTTCAGTGAAGAATGGTGGCCTGATGTCCAACCCACTTGGTCCTACACAAACTGATCCCATTATCATGTGCCTTCAAGTTCATTAACTCGATGGAGGCGGAAATGCTGTAGGCCCGTGAGCTCAGATTTGGGTGCACGTTCAAGAACTTCAGGTGGTTGAAAGTTGCCCCGCCGCGGTGGTCTAGTGGCTAAGGTACTCGGCTGCTGACCCGCAGGTCGCGGGTTCGATTCCCGGCTGCGGCGGCTGCATTTACGATGGAGGCGGAAATGTTGTAGGCCCGTGTACTCAGATTTGGGTGCACGTTAAAGAACCCCAGGTGGTCAAAATTTCCGGAGCCCTCCACTACGGCGTCTCTCATAATCAAATAGTGGTTTTGGGACGTTAAACCCCACAAATCAATCAGGTGGTTGAAAGTTCCGGAGCCCTCCACTAAGGCGTCTCTCATATTCATATGGTGGTTTTGGGACGTTCAACTCTGTATATTAATTAAATTAATCAAGTTCCTTCGTCGCTCCACTTACCCTTTGCCAGCCTCGGCCACGCTAGCCCAAACTGATCATGAGCAGTTTGTGCTCAAGGCCTGACCTGCCTATGTATATTTCTTCCTATTATCTGCTATAACATCAGGTACTCATGTTTATTATCTGATCCGTTTTTCTGTCGTCCTATCTCTTGAAGATAAGCCTATCATATTTAGTTCCATCGCAGGCTGGACGCTCCTTAGCGTTTGCGGTTCTTCGTTATCCATCACTCTTATTTCCCATTTGTTAGTGGCACATTACAGCTTTGTAGAAATTGGTGCCTTGCCTGACCTCTCAGAGCACATTTCAATATACGACATTTGGAACCCGTAATATTGGAACATTATCTGGGCATTGTTCGAAAAACATCCTGCTCTCGCTTTCGATAACATGCTCCAAGAAAACTCAGCGCAGTCACACGCCTGCACTTATGCCACTTCGCAACATTTCGCGAACGGAAGAGATAACAATCAATTGAGAAACAAGTTATGATGAACCAGCAGTAACATAACGTAGATGGGATTTCGAGCCATAACCATCCCTTCTCCCGCTCCAGAAATGTTTGTATTTTCTGTACATTAACGTGTGCGCACACAAAGAAACACATGTACAAATTCTAATAAAGGGGTCACACTATCATCGCGAAAACATTTCATGTCTCATGCGAACGTGGCCTTGAACAATATGCTTGGCAACGACTTGAAGCAGTTTTAAACATACTGCGCGACTTCTCAGGCGGGAACCTATGCGAAGTGTACCAAGGCATGATAGGAATAAGTATTCATGATCGTAGCCATCGATGGAGCCATGACAAAGTCTTTAGTGATTCGTAATATGGAGTTCATAAACGGAACGTAGTGATTAACAGTAAGTGAAAATAGGTAGGAACGTTAAATAGTGAAAGTAAGTTAGCGTCAGTAATCTAGTGCATCTAGTTAGGGACAGTCACTAGAGGCATTCCCAACGAAGACACGGCATCTAGTTGCTCATCACCCTTTATCTCCTTACCCCTTTCCCACCTTATCTCCAACAACCGCCAAGAGTCGTTCTTTTCTTTCAATAAATACCACATTCATTGATTCAGGAATCTAATTAGGAGCGTGGGCAAGGGAGGCTAAGCCACGTGTACGCTACCAGGTTATGCTTCTTGATACCGTCTACAGCTCGTTTCAGGACCAGTGTGGGGATTTTCTTGTCGGTGTTGGAGAGAAGGACCTCCCGTTGTTCCTCAAGAGAGGGGAAATGAGCAAACGAGGGCCACTTTACGGGCCTTCTCCATCAGCTGGCATGTTTGTTCGAATTCCTTGACATTCGGAGCTAAGACGTGTGTCATGTCACCATGACGGCCCATCGTGCTAAGTGACGGCGTTGTGAAGTTCAATAAGGTTGAGAGCTGGGTTAGTTGGTGACTGTTTATTATACTGTATATGCTGAAGAAGCACTGTTTTGACGGGTACAAAGTGGACACGAGAAAAAAATAGTGTAACTAGTTGTAGATATTACGGAGGTAGCAAGGCAGGAGCGCAAGCCGAAATTTTTCTCAAAAAGAGAGTGTGTCTACACTCCCCGTTATGATTGTGCTTGTATATATGCGCACGCGCACATGTAGATACAGAACGTAAAAAAGTTCGACGGGAGGTCCAAATCTCCTTCTTACTGTCGTCGCAAGGCGTATAAGGTGACCCTTGGGACGGCGTAGTGGCCATCGTGGTAGCAGTCAACACCAAAAGATCTTTTTTTTTTTAAGGATAACGGACTTTCATTTGATCATATGGTGGTTTTGGAACGGTAAACCCCACATATCAATCAAATCATCAGTTGGGCTTTTATTCACGTGCGCAACACTTCAGTTGCTAACGACGACGGTCCGGTATTCGTATCCATGCAACAGTGAAATATAGTACGAGAAATGGCATGACACCGGGACAACAGATCAGAGTGTCATATCAGAAAAGGCAGGTTGCCGACAAGCACATGATTGAGGGTTAGTCAATCACTGGGAGACGGCGCATACAAACGCGCATGCAGCCAGCGTACCTCGGAGGGCCACATTTCTGTACGCTCGCTGACACTGGGTTTTGGGCACACAACACCGCCACTAAAATTCATGCGTTGATTAACTTGGTACGTACTCGAAATCGTTAAACATCTTTTCTAAGCACTTGTCTCTCTATTGTGCAGGAAAAAACAAAAGTTGTGCAGGAAAGAATAAGCACCTACGCTATCACCACTGCTGATAACTCCGCAGTAGATTGAAAAAGGGTCGAGATATTTTTCAAGTACATGAAGGTGAGTGTGGCTGATTTCATACGCTTGTTCCTGGCTGAGAAAGAGAAACGTGTGATTTCATCGAGGTCACAGCTCGTGACACTCAAGTGGCTAGCAAAGCTCTTCGACGCGGCTTGTCTCTCTAACCGACATGCGGTGCCCAAGCAGAATGCGACTGCCTAAAGGTGGTGACGTTTTTAACGAAGCGCCAAAAGGCTGATACAGTCTTCTCGTAACCACCAAGTCGCAGTCGTATTCATCAGGGACACAAAAGATACACAAAAGAAATGGTCGTACCTGCAAATTGAGAGGTTCCGAACATGTCCTTTTAGTAGGGTTTGGGCAGTCGCTATGGGCTATGGAACGCGACCTTCACCCGCTTCTTTCTGCGTTATATTGTCGGTCTACTCTCGCTAGTTACGGCGACTACAGTGAACGAAGAAAACTGCCAGTGATGATGATGATGATGATGGCCTAAACGCATGGCTCATACCCACTCGGGGAGATCGGACAAGAAACGATTATTAAAAGCCAAGCATTTCTTAGCGAACTTCGGCGACTTTGGGCGTATCTATCTATCTATCTATCTATCTATCTATCTATCTATCTATCTATCTATCTATCTATCTATCTATCTATCTATCTATCTATCTATCTATCTATCTATCTATCTGTCTGTCTGTCTGTCTGTCTGTCTGTCTGTCTGTCTGTCTGTCTGTCTGTCTGTCTATCTATCTATCTATCTATCTATCTATCTATCTATCTATCTATCTATCTATCTATCTATCTATCTATCTATCTGTCTGTCTATCTATCTATCTATCTATCTATCTATCTATCTAATCTACTATCATCTATCTATCTATCTATCTATCTATCTACTATCTATCTATCTATCTATCTCTATCTATCTATCTGTCTGTCTGTCTGTCTGTCTGTCTGTCTGTCTGTCTGTCTGTCTGTCTGTCTATCTATCTATCTATCTATCTATCTATCTATCTATCTATCTATCTATCTATCTATCTATCTATCTATCTATCTATCTATCTATCTATCTATCTATCTATCTATCTATCCGCCTACGACTTTTAATTAGCTCTCCAGGCCGTTTGGATAAAGGTATCGACACCAAACTTGGTATGAAATAACATGACTTCATGACGAGCATATTTGACTAGTCATAACATGAAAATCATGACATGTATGTCATGAATGTTATGATTTACATTTAATGGACCTGCTGCTCTTGCGGTGGTTTCGTTCACATGACATGTTGCAAAGCGGGTATGGTATGACATGATTGCATGGCGAACACAAACGACAGAGCCTAACATGAAAATCATGACATGCATGTCATGTAACAACATGACTACATGACACGCCCATGATGCGCTCGCGGCCGTTGCACTCGCGTCACATATACCAAATTTGGTATTACGGTACGTGAAAGGATGACGAAGGTTTGTGACTGGCACAAACATGATAATCATGAGATGCGTGTCATGTAACAACATGACTACATGCCACAGTTAAGGCGCCAATACACTTCGACGTGACGCGGTGCGCGTGCTCGCCAGCGTTCATTTCGTCGCGTCACGTCGGTGTTGCCCCGCCAGGCACCGGTCATGCCATAT